GGGAATTTCTGAAGCCAGCTACACGACCTGCTGAACAACCCAAACCAGTTGAAAGCAGTGATAGCCAGCTTACAAAGAGTGTAAACCAGCCTTCAAAGCAAGATGTCAAGTCAGCTAATCATGACCCGAAACCAACAATGACATCACAAACTGTTCCTTTGAAGAAAACGCGTACCCAAGTTGTAAAGCCACCCTCGAGGTTCAATGACTTTGTTGCGTAGTTTATCATATGAAACTAGACTACAGCTCAAGAGAACTCGGAGTGTCTATTTTAGAAAAACTGACTATCAGGCAACAACTTTTATAAGGACTCCTGACTTATAAGTCCTATACCAAGTTCCATTTGTTCTGTTTTGTTTTGTTTCTAATTTTTATTTAGTAATTTCCTTTCCGACCTGGACAATAACATTTTATTTATGTTATAGTGTTTTCGTTAGGAAGTTAGCTTACTCCAAAAGAAGAGAGATGTTACAATAAGTTACGTCACTTGTCACTTTACGTAGATTCCTTATTTGGTCGTAAATAAATCAGTTGAGATCTACAGAGTTTGCAGCGTGCATACTTTAACAGTGTTGTATCTCAAAAATGTGTGAAGAAGGAACACCCCAAGAAATACATCTGAGTCCTTAGAAATATCTAGTGGTGTTGCTTTATTGTATTGGATATTATTAATTTGCTATTATATTTCCTCCTGATAAAAGCAGGATAACATTTTCAGTTGCTCAATCACTTTATTGTCACTTTGTTGTCACTTCCCATGATAGTTTATCTCTTTACTATATAGGTGTATTCTCCATGTGGGGATGCACCTGAGGCTTCTTTGAACTTCAATGTTTGGTTCAGTTGTCTCTCCATAAATCACTAATGGCACATTACTAAGAAAACCAGTCATTTTATCCTTGTACTAGGCCAATGATGATGTTACTGTAGATGAAAAAGACAGCTTCTTTGTTGGTGGTAAGAGATTTACTGATTTCATAAAAAGTAGCATGAGTTTAAAGATTTGGACAGACTTAAAGATTAATGCTTTTTCCTTCAACACCTAGCAATACAGTATACAATGCACAAGGTACTCATAAAAAAAGAAATGAGTTGCAAAACAAAATGTGACAGAATGACCTCAGTTCCCAATGATACATCAGAACATTAATGTAGCTCTTTCTTTTCACCCTCTAGTCCCTTAGTAGTAATGGTAAAAGGGTGAAGCCTTATTAAAACTTAGCTAGGAGCCTAACTTGAAATCACATCATTTGTATCTTAGATGCAGCAGGGCGACCAGCTGACTGGGAACCAGGAAAGAAGAAGGATTTCTCTTGCAATGATAGATTGGTGATTGGATGGATTTTTTTTTTAATCAGTTAGTTATGGTCACAATAATCAACAGAATTGTATTTTGTTTGTCCATAACAGCACAAGGGGGGCTTCTTTATCAAAATTTAGTTCATGAAACATCATCATTAATTTAACTAAGATGATATTATAGAAGAGGTTAGAGAAGAGGTTATTCATTTTGTCACAGGGGTAGAACAAAGGAAAAAAAGTCTACTATGAGGAAGTGAACCCCAAACCTTCTGATCACGTAGGCCAAAGCTCTCTATTTCTTATGACCAGTTCTCTTTGAAATTTATTTCACACTGCATCCTGCTCAATAACTTTGGAGTATTTGGGTGCAGGTTCAATTCATGGTTGGGAGGTTTTTAGTTGGGTTGTGCCAATGAATTTTTAGTCAACCAAAGGAAGGGGTTCAACAGTGAGAATATGGTATTCAGCAAAACTCAGATGAAGAAATAAATGATCAAGGAAAGAGGTGAATGATTAAATTTCACTGTTTGATCCTAAATTATGATTATATTGATTGTCTACACTTGTTTTACAATAGTTTTCTCAATATCTGAAAAGAGTGTCTACTGGTGACAGATAATAGCTGTTTTTCTACTAATGACACTTACAAAATTTTTCATTGATGTTATGATAAATTCTTAAATGTGAAGTTTGCAGAAAATATTGGAATACAGTTCCACACTCCAGAAGAATTCTTCCTGGGGCACAAGCTATCACCATTTGAGTGGCCAAAATTTCTACCAGTATGTATTCTCATTAGAGGGCTTTATGCTCAAAGCTATATATTTTGAAGAATATGTATATGAGAGTACATAAGTAAACTGCAGGGTCTGAAATTTCAACCAACTGGTTGCCATTGCAGTCAGAAATTGAGTGATGGCAACTAGATTTTAAGACATTGTCGCCAGCAGTTGACTAAAATGGCATCTTGTCAATTCCAAGATTGATTCCAGGACCACTCTAAAAGAATTGATTAAATTTCACTTATTTTCTGGGATTCATGTTTTTTGTCTTAACAAAGTTTTAAACCTCCAGGTGAAATGAGTTAGGCTTGGTCTGGAGTTTAAGCTGTCTGCCCTTTTATAAATTTATTTCATTCTTTGGTAATATTGGTCCTGAAGAGGCCCATTGGGAGTGGTAAATTGAGATTAAAGTTTAGTTATTTTGAAGTTTTGGCAAGTCACGGCAAACCAAACTTGCCTTGTTCCTGACACAATGACATTGCACCCCCCCTTATAGAAATACACTGAATTTCAGACCCAGCTCCCCATTTAATTGTATATAATAATTTTACATTTGCAATTAAACCTTGCTTGGGAATGAATCTAGAATTAAACACCTGTGACGGTATGAACCTACCTCCATCATTGACATCATGTTGGATTTTGACATCATGTTGGATTTTGTCGTCAGAAAAATCTAGATGCTTATGGATCTTTATTAAATCCACCAAATGCAAAGTTGAAGTCAGAAGGTCAAGAGGTATGGAATAATAATTATAGAAAATAGACTTTTGTAAAGGGAAGAATTAGTGGAGGCGCCTTGTTTATACTTGTGAATATGTACTAGCCTCATTATGACTTTTTCAATCATTTTAAAGCCCACTCTTCCGATGAATAAATATTCTGATTTGCCTCAACACAGCTTTATGAGAGATACTTAACATCCTTTGCCAAAATTTTATCCAACAGATATGTGGCTTAGTAGTAACCTTTCCTCCCAACAATTTTGCCCTTTTGTATGGCAAATGTGTCGCAAGCGGTTAAGATTTCACATACTCAAGTTACCGGTAACCCCCATACCTGATCAACTGGAAATTGAAACCATGCAAAAGATAGTATTTTAAAGATTGTACTACAGAAACAATCAGAAAGAATTGACTCACATTTGCTTTATTACAGCTAATTGTTATGGTCGGATATCCAGCATGTAAGTAAACCAAGATGAACAGGAAGGTCAGACGTTTCTTTAAACATAGCCACTTGCTAAGAGCTTAACTCTTCGATACATGTCATGTAGAGTCACTAGTAACTATTTCCAACTCTCTTAAATACTAAGATATTAAGCGACTTAAAACATACTCTTTCCTCCATTTAGTTTTGTTCGTCTGCAACCTGTTATGTTTTAAATGCAGAGGCGTGTATGTTTCTAACGATTCTTTTTGGGCAAAACATGTAAGTTCTTGTTCCTGTCATTCATTTGATACTGACTCAAAATAGTTTGTTCCCGTGGAGCAGCCATAACCAAACCAGAATTGGCACTGGTTCTGCGAGCAAGTTCGTTATTTATTACGGATTCTGATTTCCAAGTCTCACTACAAGAATGCACTGTGATTCGTTAAATTCATCATCTAAGTGAATTGTGAGTGTTACATGTATCTTTCTCCGATCTTCTGTTCAGTAAACCACCAAATATAAAACCTCGTTTTCTGTTTCGTTGTTCAGCTGGGAAAACTACGTTTGTTAAAGATTATCTTCTACCACTGGGTTACGTCCAAATAAACAGGGTAGGACATAAGCATTAGCTGCATGTCTTTTTCTCAAATGGTTCGATATAAAGCGCTGCTGTTTCGTGGTTCCTTTAGCATGCTAAGAGATTACCATTGAAAACTCTCTAGTCGTTCTTTGAATTTGTGCAAAACATTTGATGATAAACTTGTATGCAAACAAAAGTGGAAAGGTAAAATCCTCGCCTTCCCTTTGAGCTGATAGAAGGCAATCAATCAGATTGACTAGCATCCCTTTCAGTAAGAAATGGGATAAGCAGCTCTAGTCGTAGCCTCTTACTGCTATAAGCAATTCAATTGTTGTAAGTATACTTAAACCAAGGTAATAATCACAATACAATATTAGGTAACGGGATGATCCCTGCATGTTCTATAGGATATCCTAGGTACATGGCAGAAGTGTGTTTCTGCTTGCAAGGATGCATTGTCATCTGGTAAGAGAGTAGTTGTGGACAACACAAGTCCAACAAGGGAAACAAGAAAGAGGTAATGGTCATTACCATGCATTATTGGTCATTACTGGTCACTACTGGTTATTATTATTATTATTATTATTATTATTATTATTATTATTATTATTATTATCATTGTGTACAAATCCACTAAGGAAGTTCTTAAGGATTTCCGTTCTAATCAAGAGGATAAACTGCAACACCACCTAACATCTCAAGGTTTCTTCTTCTCAAATGTCATCAAGTATTCATTGTCATCTGTAAATTCTATTTGGTCAGTGGCCCAGTCTCATCTACCGAAGAACATTTACAACTTTACCATCCGCTACATCAACAACTCTCTTCCTACACGTAAGAATTTGGTAAGATGGGGATTATCACAAAGTCCTGATTGTTCCTTTTGCCTTAATCCTGAGTCACTCCTTCATGTTGTCGCTGGTTGTCAACAATGCCTTGATCGCTTTACCTGGAGACACGACTCAATCCTTAACTTCATTGCCAAGTCCCTTCAACCTGTAATTAATGTTAGCTCCTCACTCTATGCAGATGTTACTGGTTTTCTAAAATCCCTCAATAATAACTGATGAAAATTATCGTCCAGATCTTCTTTTCCTAATCCAGTCCACGTGCCTATATGTTCTAGAATTAACAGTTGGTTTCGAATCTAACCTGTACAACAATGCAGTACGTAAAAAAGAAAAATATTGGAACTTGATTAACGAAATGAGTAGAACTTTCAGATGTGTGAAATTTGTAAATCTCTCCATGAGCTCCCTTGGCGTTTTCTCAGATGGATGCTCTACGTTCTTAGACATGATGAATGACATGGGCATTGACAAAAAGCAGCAACTTTACATAATCAAGAAAATGATAAATATAGCTATGAGAGCATTAGATATTAGAGCAACACATTACGTCTTTTGTTGTAGGAATAGGAATTGGGACAACCCAGATTTGATGCAATTTTGATTTTTGTGTGTGTGTTGAATAAGCCAATCTCAAGCAGCATTTGAAAATTGCCTACACGTAGTGAGATTTACAATTGTACATTTAAAAACACAAATAAAGTTTCCATTATTATGGCAGTATATATATATATACACATCTGGGTGCCGATCCTACTCAGGCTAGGCGTTGACTGTGGCTAGCCTAAGTCTTATTTACATACTAAAATTACATGAAATTGCTATATACTATATTATTATTATTATTATTATTACACAAGTTAAAAATAAAAAAAACTACCTAATAGTAGTTCCAATTTCAATTAAAATCCTATTTACAATCTAATCCTTTTCATCATCATCAATATTAGTATTGTCGATGCTAAAATAAAAATGCGTCTTTATTGTTCAAGAGATAAAATTGCACTAGCCCTAAAATATAGTCATAATAATTTAACAAATTCACAAAAAGGTAGAAACAAGAAACAAAACAAAAAAAGTATTTATAAAACATGGTAAAATTCACAAAACTACGTTGGGCAGGCGGTAGCGTTGTCGAGGGAGAAGTCCAAGTTGATGATATCGAGGGTTCTTCTGATGGATCGTGATCCTCTCAGGCATAGCAAAGCTGAACGAATGAGCGCAAATGACACCTTGGCTCTAATCCATGACATGGTGCTTGCATAGCTCTCTCCCTTCTTATTATTCCCTTATTATTATTGTTATTATTATTACTTTGAGGTAAGACGAGTTGTCAATAATTTTAGCCATTAAAATGTGTATTACTTCACTTGTGCATCTGATGGAGAGTGTTAGGGTGGAAAGTGCACTTTGGTTTGAATGAAAACACAAACTTTTTTTTCATCGCCAAAATGGCGTTGTTGTTTGAAGCTGCAAACAGTTTTAAATGTCCATTAAACACGAGTTCAGTAACTGCACTCTGGTGGGTAATTGTTTAAGCAGCCTTTGAGATTTGTTAAGAAGAAGAGAAATAATTTTACTTTTGCAAACCGCTCTGTTTAAAAACGTTTTATTTTATATGTCAACAAATTAAAAGAAAATGTGATATAGATGACATTGTAGTGTTTATGGAGATCTCTTTCCAAGGCAAACTTTTGAAATTGTGTCATTTAACCTTGTAAACTTGAGGGAAGCCAATCTATTGACTGTAAAAATGAGTTGCTTTTCACTGATTAATTTCAGGTATGTTGACTGTGCAAAGCAGGCCAGGATTAGTGCTCGGTGTTTCTTATTTGACGTGAGCTTTGAACACGCTCAACATAACAATAAGGCAAGCCTTTAATTTATTGACAGAATCCGACCACCTTAACGTGTATTTTCCTCACCTTTGCAAGGGCGTTACAATGTACAGTACCAAACACGCGACGTTTCCACAAATAGTCCCACAAAATATGTGTTTCGTGGGTCTATTATTTCTTCGCTGAATTTATTTCTTCTCACTGAAGTAGACTACTGGGCATGGAAACCTACATAATGTATCTTTCTATCGTTTAATATTTTTCAGATCCGCGAAATGACGAACAGGGACAGTTCATACAAACACGTAGGACACTTGGCTTTTGTGAAATACAAGTGAGTCCTACAAACTGCTGAAAACATCTTTGACACTTCATTCGGAGGGATGACCAGACTCATTTTCAAACTAGAAGTTATGTAATATACCATACCAACTTGTACCTGTCATTCTCTGGGGGTAAGGGCGAGTGTAAAGTCCCTCCAAGTTTTCGTTCCGGAACGTTTTTTTTTACAATTTCTGCCTTGGTAATTCGTACTGGGCTTTCGTATACCTTTTAATCCGAACGCATAGGGCTCAATTCCCACGGGGAATCTATGATTTTTCTCCCCCGTTACAAATAAAGAGCATTTTTCGTTTGATAGAAGTTTTAGATGTGCGAGGACCAAAAGTGTGTTCCAATGTACTCCTTTATTATCCAACTACACTTCTTAGAGTACAAATAACGCCATAGACAAGTACAAATACCACGCGGTAAATACCACGCGGTATTTGTACTCTAGAGTACCGATTAAACAGGTTTTCTCGCATCGCGCAAGCGAAGAATTGAATTGTGGTTACGGAAAAAAAAATGGCGGACAATTTGAATCATATTTCCGACAACGAAGAGTCAGAATGGCTGGCAAATATACATCCAAGTTTATTAGATGAATCGAACGAAGAAAAATAGCTAGACGACCTGGAAATTTCTTCATTTATTGAAGAAAATAGAAACGGCAACACGACAACGCGCCAATTCCGTTCCGCTTCGCATACTTCTGTCACGCACTCCCCGTAATTAAACATCCGCGAAATTCGCCCGCACTGAAATAACAGTTTGGCGTGTTGGATAATAAATAACTTATTAGACGTTTTGTTGTGTAGTATCGCTGAGTATTTTTACTCGTTATTTGTATTTTGACTCGCCCTACGGGCTCGTCAAAATACGGCACAACTCGTAAAAATACTCAGCGATACTACACAACAAAACGTCTAATAAG